GCCTTGAAATTGAGCTCAAAGTAGTGAAAATGTTAATTTTTGTCCAGTTCAAGAGTAAACAAATGACCTAAAGTCAAAATAACGACAGCTGGGGGGTTAATATCATTCACAAATGTGGGAATTTTTATACTTTTACGGGGGGACCCCCGCATAACGTTCCCTCCGAATGCGAAAATTATGAAAGTATATTTATGTAAGTGGTTTGTAGTGTTTTTTTTGGGGGGGTTGAAAGGGACAACTACTTCACAAATTTCTTAGGGGAACAAATTTGGGTCAGTCTGGCCTGAAATATTTCTAGTGAAAAAATATCGTTAACCGGGGGTCCACTGATTACAATTTGAAACAGTAAGTCTTTTTTTTTTGGTTTTTAATAAAATTCATTTTGGAATAAAAAATCAAAATGGAATTCTTTGTAAGCCTGAAAACGTAAAAAATGAACGAGGAAATGTTAGTTTGTGCCAGGAAAGCCTGCATTGTTTTTTCTGGCCCTATTTTGAAACTGGAATATTTTGAACTTTGACTAAAAGGGGCCCAAAATTTCCCTTTTTTCCCATCAATTATTTTGTAGTTGAAACAGTTGACTTTGGGGATTTTTTTGTGCTCAAACGATAGAAAAGAAGTAGAAACTATTAATAACTAAGGAATTTGGTAACTGGAATAAGGTAATTTGGGCCCAAAATGGGGGTCAAAGTCAGCAAAATCGCGATGCATAAAATCGCTGAACATAAATTTGCGAGGAGCATAAATTTTGTCAGTTTTCCACCAAATTTATATTTTTTTTATTACCTTCAGAAAAAGATTTTCTACCATTTCATAAAAAAAAAATAACAAAATTATTTTTTGAAAATTCTTGGACACTGGTGCACACTTTGAAATTTGACCTCTGGACCCTGAAAGGGTTAAGATTTCCCTAAAATGGGACATGGTTCTGTCACTGAACTTGTTGCAGAGATGGCTTGTTTCAGCTTGCTCGGGGGGATATTTTTCAGCAAATGCCTGCAGCAGTACCATCCACCACTATATCATCCACCACCATCCACTAATACCATCCACCACCACCACCATCCACTTATACTATCCACCACCACCACCATCCACTTATACTATCCACCACCACCACCATCCACCACTACTACCATCCACCAATATCATCCACCACCACCACCATCGCCACCATAGTAGCTTATTTCACAGTCGCACTTAATAAACAAGCACCAAACACAATGAATTATTTGTGAAATGTTTAAATGAGCATGCAGGTTAGTGTTCACTCAAGCATAAACAAAGTCAGACTGGCTCATGACGCCTGCACGGGGGATGCAGGGAGGCACAGGTAGGCAGACAGGTCTGGTACACAGTTCGAAACATGGGGCAGTATCGATACTCGAAACAAAATTGGTGCGAAAAAAGTGGTCGAAACTCGAAGCATTCGATAGTCAATGCGTTCGAAACTCAGGGTTCCACTGTATTACAGAAATAGATATTATTTTGATTGGTTTCATGATGAAAAGTACCTTGAAATTGAGCTCAAAGTAGCAGAAATGTTCGATTTTTGCCAATGTTCAAGAGTAAACAGATGACATCATCCAATACGTGTCCAACTGGCCAGTCTAATATGCAGTCACGAATGGTTTGACATTATTTATACAGTTATTACAATAATGCAGAAGTCTGCATAACAGTAAATCTTCTATTATTTTGTGAATAAAAATTAAAAATGGAAAGCAAGAGTAATAGAAGAGGGGCCTGGAGACATGACTAATGAACAGAGAAAAGGTTATTTTAGTGCCAGGAATGTCTGCATTGTTTATTCTGGACCTTATTTTGAAATTGGCTTTTGAAATTTGTGTGAAATTGGCCAAATTACCAATTTCTGACCACTTTATTGGTAGTTGAAATAGGTGAATGGGCAGTTTCTTGTACTCAGTCGACATATTAGAAGGAATACTAGCGAAATAGCTATGAGTTTGGTAGCCTGGAACAACAGAATGGGCCAAAAATAGGGCATAAATTGGGTGAAATCGCTGATGCGTAAATATTGCCATTGGGTTAAGTGTATTCTAACCTAACCACTCTGTAATCCGGTAAAGTGGAAATAAATGAATATAAATACTGACACAATGGAAATATAAACACATATGCAGTATAATGTGATCCTTTATTGACAACGTTTCGCCCACACAGTGGACTTTTTCAAGTCACAAACAGATCTACCTGGGGTGGAAGGTACGCGAGTATTTATAGTCAGGTTCAGAATGTTGAGGTCAGGTGGAGAATGCTGCATCTGATCTACCGAGTGGGGTTATAGAGTCTAAAATCTTGGGTAGCTTGGAAGGGAGATTGGATAAGTTGTGAGCAGACCTTCTGCAGTGTTCTTCCATTCCTATGTTCTTATGTGGGATAGCAATGAAGAAGTTTCTTGGCAAGTGGTTCAGCTATGTTATAGAAGCCATTGCTCTGGTTGAAATTGTTGGTTATAGAGATAAGCGATGATTCCAGGATTCTTTGGTATTGAGTGTTGTCTTCTCTGGCGATTAGTCTTGAGTTTCTGTAGTTAATTAAATGGTTTTGTGAATTGCGGTGTTGTACATAGGCATTCCTTGTATCGTCAGTCCTGCTTGCTTATTGATGTTTCGCCCACGTTTTAATTTGCTGCAGTCATTATAAAGGATTGTGTATACCCCTGCAGAGGAAGGAAGCTTGTGAAGTCCTTGATGGTCATGGTTGTGGAGGTAGATACTTGGAATGAGGTATTGGAAAAGATGTTGGAAACATGTTTGGCAATGGAGTTGGTGGGGAGGACTATGTATCTCTTCTCGGCAGTGTCTTCTCTGGATGTGTTGAAGATGTTTAATGCCCGCCATCTGCAGTCTCTGATGAAGTGACGAGGATAGTGGAGTTTAGAAAATACTTACTTGTTCAATTATAGTGCATTCTTCCTCAAGGAACTCATTGCTGTAGATTCTGAGTGCGCGCAGGAAGAAGCCTATAATTACACCACATTTAGTTTTGGTGTCGTGGTGAGAGTAGAAGTGGAAAAGATCGTTTTCATTGGTGGGTTTTCGATAGACTTTAAAACAATGTTCATGGTCAGCTTTGCAGAGAAGAACATCAAGGAATGGAAGAGTATTGTCGACTTCTTTTCAAGTGTGAACTGGATTGAGGGCTCGACCTGGTTGAGCTTGTCTTGGAGAGCTTGAACGTTGAAGCATCTGGGAGTTATGAGGAGAATGTCGTCAACATAACGGAGCCAGGTGACAGTTGAAGGAATAATGGTGGAGAAACGCTCGGCTTCCAGATGTTCCATGTATAAGTTCGCCAGGACGACACTGAGTGGCGAGCCCATGGGTAGTCCAAAAGTCTGCTGAAAGAGGTGATTTTCGAAAGAGAAACACGTAAAGCCGACACATAGTTCAACAAGATCGATGAAATTGCTATGTGTCGGCTTTACGTGTTTCTCTTTCAAAAATCACCTCTTTCAGCAGACTTTTGAGCTACCCATGGGCTTGCCACTCAGTGCCGTCCTGGCAAACTTATACATGGAACATCTGGAAGTCGAGCGTTTCTCCACCATTATTCCTTCAACTGTCACCTGGCTCCGTTATGTTGACGACATTCTCCTCATAACTCCCAGATGCTTCAACGTTCAAGCTCTCCAAGACAAGCTCAACCAGGTCGAGCCCTCAATCCAGTTCACACTTGAAGAAGTCAACAATACTCTTCCTTTCCTTGATGTTCTTCTCTGCAAAGCTGACCATGAACATCGTTTTAAACCCTTTGTAGATGAATGGTTCAGAGAACCGACATGTTTTAAAGCCTATCGAAAACCCACCAACCAAAACGATCTTCTCCACTTCTACTCTCACCACGACACCAAAACTAAACGTGGTGTAATTATAGGCTTCTTCCTGCACGCACTCAGAATCTGCAGCAATGAGTTCCTTGAGGAAGAATGCACTATAATTGAACAAGTATTTTCTAAACTCCACTATCCTCGTCACTCCATCAGAGACTGCAGACGGCGGGCATTAAACATCTTCAACACACCCAGAGAAGACACTGCCGAGAAGAGATACATAGTCCTCCCCACCAGCTCCATTGCCAAACATGTTTCCAACATCTTTTCCAATACCTCATTCCAAGTATCTGCCTCCACAACCACGACCATCAAGGACATCACCAGTAAGAGACAGGACAAGCTTCCATCCTCTGCAGGGGTATACACAATCCCTTGTAACGACTGCAGCAAATTATACGTGGGCGAAACATCAAGAGACCTCCAAACACGTATTTCAGAACACCAATACGCAAGCAGGACTGACGATACAACGAATGCCTGTGTACAACACCGCAGTTCACACAACCATTTAATTAACTACAGAAACTCAAGACTTATCGCCACAGAAGACAACACTCAATACCGAGGAATCCTGGAATCATCGCTTATCTCTATAACCAACAATTCCAACCAGAACAATGGCTTCTATAACATAGCTGAACCACTTGCCGAGAAACTTCTTCATCGCTATCCCACATAAGAACATAGGAATGGAAGAACACTGCAGAAGGTCTGCTCACAACTTATCCAATCTCCCTTCCAAGCTACCAAAGATTTTAGACTATAACCCCACTCAGTAGATCATCAGATGCAGCATTCTCCACCTGACCTCAACATTCTGAACCTGACTATAAATACTCGCGTACCTTCCACCCCAGGTAGATCTGTTTGTGACTTGAAAAAGTCCACTGTGTGGGCGAAACGTTGTCAATAAAGGATCACATTATACTGCATATGTGTTTATATTTCCAATCCGGTAAAGTCACTAATCTGGCGCCCTACAGGTCTCGATGATGCCAGATTAGTGATGGCCAACCTGTACAAGGTTTTGCCCAGTCAGGGAAAGATAAATAAAATGTTCTTTGCTATAAGCGACTTTCTATCACCATCGTGAAAGCATTTTATTTGTCCTAATTATATGCAATATCTTCTCACCCTGCAGTGTGGATGAATCAAGTATATGGCTCGGTAACACTAGGAATGCAACAAGTATGTGTAGCCACTGTTATTGTGAGAGAATCAAGGAGGAAGGATGCACTGGATGTTGTAGCTATGGAAACACCAACAGCCTGGTGGAATTGAGAGCTAGTGCTTGGCAGGACTCTACTATGGTACTGTAATTTGTTAGCACTTCTTGTTCCATTTTATTTTTATTGTAACTAAATAAGTTCCTGTATCTGAAGGAGGGGTGTTAATGTTGCAGTTTAAAAACTGTAGTGTAAAGCACCCTTCTGGCAAGACAGTGATGGAGTGAATGATGGTGAAAGTTTTTCTTTTCCGGGCCACCCTGCCTTGGTGGGAATCGGCTAGTGTGATAATAAAATAATAATCTTCACCATCTCTGCTTAATCACTCTTCAAAACTAAAGATCATTGAATCATTTTGAAATAATAAGTTATATTTTTTAAATTGTATTATTTGTTCAATAGCTTCCTTTCTTGTTGTACACATAATTGTAGTTAAATGCATAAGAAATCCTACTTAATAGTCTGTCTAAATATTAAGGATTAAGAATTAAGGCTTTTATATCTTTTCATAGTTTACAATGTGTAATTACAATTTTGATTTGCCAAATACAAAGAAAGGCACTATCATGCCGGGGCATTTCAAGCAGACTGAACCTAATGCTTAACATACTACTTAATACTAGACATATATAACATGGCTCAAATTGCACATCGTTTTTTTTATATTTCAACAGAGGTAGTTAGTGGTTTAGCAGTAATTGAGATGAATTGATTAACAGGTTACAATATGTATTATATTTTGGCGCATTTTACATAATGATATTGGAATCATTTTAATTTTGAAATAATCTTAAAATATTTAGGAATTTTTGAGATGGTGGTGGCAATTATATAGTGTTTGTGTAGTTAATTTTGGGAGATGAGGTGATTTCTAAGCAGAGTACAGTGGACCCTTGGTTATTGGCCGTAATCTGTTCTAGGTCGACCTAAAACCAAAATGGCTGAATACCGAAATTATAATTCCTATAAGAATTAATGTAAATACAGTTAATCCGCTCCAGATTCCCAAAAATATTCACATTAGAGTATTTTTTTAAAGATTAAATATATTTTTACATATATAAAACAATGAGAACTAAATAAAATAAATACATGAACAATTAAATCAGTATTACATACCTTTATTGAAGACTCTTCTTGGCTTATGGAAGATAGGGAGGAGGAGAGAGGGAGGATTATTGTTTGGAAGAGGAATCCCCCTCCATAATGACTTCAGATAGCACATCCCTCTCTGGGGTTACTTTCTTTCTTTGTCTTTTAATGCCACTAGGACCACCTTGAGAGTCACTAGACCCCTGTCGCACAAAAAAATCTGTCCAGAGAGGCCTGTTTCTGGCGTCTCTTTAAGATTTCCCTGAAGTGGGACAAGGTTTTGTTACTGAACATGTTGCAGATATGGCTTGTTTCAGCTTGATCAGGGTGATACTTTTCAACAAAACTTTGCAACTCTTTCCACTTTGCACACATGTCCTTAATCACTGAAGAAGGCACCTTCTCCTCTCTCTCTTCCTCCTCCTCTGAAGCAATTTCCTCAGCTGCAGTCTGTTGCTCTTCCAGTTGAAGGTCTTGCAGCTCTTCAGTGGTTAGCTCTTCCCTGTGGTCCTCCACCAATTCTTCCACATCCTCGCCACTCACATCCAACCCCATGGACTTCCCCAGTGCCACAATAGATTGCATAACAGGCATAGGGTCCTCATGGTCAGCCCCAAACCCTTCAAAACCCCTCTCTTGGACACAATCTGGCCACAATTTTCTCCAAGCAGAGTTCAAAATCCTGGAAGTCACTCCCTGAAAAGCCTTACCTAAAAGGCTTATGCAATGGAGGATATTGAAGTGATTCCTCCAGAACTCTCTTAGGGTCAAGTCAGTGTCCGAGGTCACTTCAATGCACTTTTGAAACACCGCTTTTGTGTAGAGTTTTTTGAAGTTAGAAATGATTTGCTGGTCCATGGGCTGGATGAGAGGAGGGGTGTTAGGAGGCAAGAACTTCACTGTTATAAAACGGAAGTCCCTAATGATGTGATGAATGGTTTGAAAAACCGACAAGTTGAGGATTGAGACACTTATGCAGCATATGGGAATAAAGATTCCCATATGCTGCAGTGTGGCGAAACGTTTCCTGAATAAAGATTCCCATATGCTGCATAAGTGTCTCAATCCTCAAGTCCCTAATGAATTGGTCTTCCAAGTCTAGAAGATGAGCTGGAGCATTGTCCAGTACCAGGAGGCACTTGAGTGTCAATTTATTTTCCAGGAGGTATTTTTTCACACTGGGGTCAAACACATCATTGACCCACTCTTTGAAAATGTGCCTTGTGACCCATGTCTTATTAGCTTTCCACATCACACACACACTATTCTTGATGACATTGTGTTTCTTGAACACACTGGGATTTTCAGAGTGATACACCAGTAAAGGCTTCACTTTGAAATCCTCACTAGCATTACCACAGAACAAAAGAGTAAACCTGTCTTTCATAGGCTTGTGTCCTGGCAGTGCTTTTTCCTCCTGCTTAATGTAGGTCCTCTTTGTCATTTTCTTTCAAAAGAGGCCTGTTTCATCACAACTGAACACTTGTTGGAGGAGGAATCCTTCAGCCTCTGTGTACCCCTTGAATTCCTGCACAGATTTTTCAGCTGCACATTTGTCAGAACTCGCAACCTCCCCATGCCTTACCACACTGTGTATGCCACTACGCTTCTTAAATCTCTCAAACCAGCCTTTGCTGGCCCTAAATTCACTAACAGCAGCACTTGTCCCAGGCATTTTCTTTACAAGATCTGCATGCAACTGCCTTGCCCTCTCACAAATCATCGACTCCGCAACACTGTCTCCCGCTAATTGTTTTTCGGTGATCCACAAAACCAACAACAACTCCATATCTTCCATTATCGGTGACCTTTGTTTGGTTAGCACATTTACTCCTTTCACCACATCATCTTCCTTGATTTGTTCTTTCTTTGCCAAGATAGAAGTGATTGTTGGTTTGTTTTTCCCATACATCCTGACAAGTTCTATCACTCAAAAACTACTCTCAAACTTTTCAACAACTTCTTTCTTAAATTCCATTGTGTTTCTCACTTTCTTTAGCAAAGGAACTTTACTAGGAAATTTCTTTGGGGCTGTGGTTACTTATTTTGCAGTTGCTAACCACGAAAAACAATTGATTACAGCCAAATGTTTGGATGAATGAGCAGAAGCTTCCTCACTCGCCCAGAGACAAAGCCAGACTGATGCGCGAGCAGTGGCGAGTTGATGCATACCACACGGCCGATAAGTGAAATAACAGCAGATAACTGGAAGCTGAAAAACTGGCTGATATGTGAGTTGGCCGATAAGCGGAACGGCTGATAAATGAGGGTCCACTGTACTAACATTTAAGCATTGGGATTAATTTCCCCTAAATTCACTATATACCAATGATTTTTTATGTGCCTACCAATATTTTATTACATTATTGTAACCACAAACAAGTGGTATTGATCAATAACAACACTGTTCTAACCAAGGATTCGAACCCATGTTGTACTGTCTCGCCATTGTGAGCGAGAACCACATGATACCTTAACCCACAGGACCACCCAATCCTACAAAGAACCAAGCACCCAGCCAAGCTAGATGTGTTACTCTTGGTCCAAGGACATATGGAGGTGTGGGAGCTTTCAAGCTAATTTCATTCTCATCCCTGTTTGGTATACTAGCCTACGAGCAGGATATATATACAGTGGACCCCCGCTTTACGATCAGCTCCCAATGCAACCAATTATGTAAGTGTATTTATGCAAGTGCATTTGTATGTGTATGTTTGGGGGTCTGAAATGGACTAATCTAATTCACAATATTCCTTATGGGAACAAATTCGTTCAGTAATGGCACCTGAACATACTTCTGGAATGAAATAATATCGTAAACCGGGGGTCCACTGTATTATTGTAACCACGAACGAGAGGTATTGATCAATAACAACACTACGCTAGCCAAGGATTCAAACTCGTGTTGTACTGGCCTACCATTGATTTTATTACATGTAAACTACATTTGTACTGCACAAAGAAATAAAAATTGTATTGTCTTGTAAATATGATGTACTGCTAAGAAGGACATAGGTTTTAGATACGTATTTCCTTGATCACTTGCAGCCCCATTCATCTCAAAGCCACTAAACTCGGGGTCAACATCACTTTCCTTGAAAAAAAAAAAAGTGCTAATATGACATGGGATTAGTGAATACCTGGGGTTTGCCATTCTTTTTGCTCTAACTGGTGCTCCCACAAGGTAGTATGTGGTTCCAGATTTTTTTAGTACAGCACACACCGAGTGTACAGACCCATTTTATACTGCCTAGGCCTGTCAAGCCTCTGGTGCCAAACATGAATGCAGGAAAAATAGTGCATTGATAAACATTGCAAGTGCTAGTAGAAATGCATGGGTCAACAATTTGACAGTTGAAGGGTTGATCATAATATCTGGCATTTAAAAATGGAAGAGGGCAGATATTAGGAGGTGAAAGTACAGAGTATGTATAGAGAGTTCTCATTTATTTGGTAAAAATTAGTCAAGAACCACAGATTTAATAATAGTCAAAAACCACAAATTACTAGATGTTTACCACTGAATGTCACATGAAACACTGAGCTGGCTAGTCAGTGGCCACACCACCTCACTCCTTACACACACACACACATACATACATACATACATACATACATATATATATATTCCAAGTCCAGTTATCCAAACTTGAGTCCTGGAGGTGGGAAGTGCAGTACTTGCACTCTGAAGGAAGGGTGGGGATATTTGCAGTTTTCAACTGTAGAATCGGTGATGAAGTGAAGGATGGTCAAAGTTTATAGTATTGGTAAAGTTAGACTTTTTCACTGAAGAGGACCTTGACAAATCTAGTCTAGAAACAGTGCTTTGAAACAGGGTCTAGACCAGCTAATGATGCCTTACCGTCAGCTGTATAATGTACTGCAGGGTAAAAAAGTCCAGAGATCCATTAAAAGAATTTATGCACACTCAATACAACCATCGACTTTTAGTACCAGAGCCTCTACCATCCACTTCTGCTGACAACCAACAACCATCCACCTCAGCCCAGTAGGGCCACACTATGCATATTCACTCTTTGCAATCATCCACAAACACCATTGCCCACAGTTTAAGGTAAGAAATACTATTATTTCTATTGCATTTGTAGTCATTAAGCAGTAATATATCACAACAAATGAATTTACAATTACATATGCACTTTTTTTTTGTAAAATCTTTTGGTTTAAAAAAAGTTGTTTGGCTCTTTGGGGGCTCCCAGGAACGTAACCCTATTTTTCCAATAAGCTCTTAAGTTCATCTAACACGGTTTTTACCTAACACTGCGTTTTCAGGAATGTAACTACCCGAGTGAGCCATTTTTTCAGCGATCAGGACATTAAGATTGAAAAATTATGGAAAAAAAATGTTTTTCTTCTGAAAATAGTGCAAAATTCTGGCAACATTTTGATGAACCCAGCTTGTTCTATCATATTTCTAATATTTTTTTCATTAAATGTATTTTTTTTTTTTTGCTGTCATCAAAATACATGTTGGCAATTTAAATTTTTTTTTCCCCAAAAAATTTGGGGATTTTTATGAATTGTCTCTTTCTAAATACTCTACATGGCAACTTCTGTGCTGGCTAAAGTGTAGAACATGGTGTCTCCCTTGGTAGCCTGCAGGTTGTCAACAAGGAAAGAGTGCAACACACTCAGATTTGGCGTGTCGTAACCGTAGAGTTTCACACCAAAGAAAAACTCAGAATAAGTTAGTGACATTTTCTTTTTTCTGCAATAAGTAAATAGGACTGTCATGATTTTTGCACACATTGAGGAATGATGGTTCTACAAACATCCAGGAGGGATTTGTGATATTGTTTACAGCTTTGTTTTTAATGATTTTCCACAATAAACAAAAAAAAAATACTAACTTTATTTTATTATGGAATCTACTGGCATTGTCGCTGAAATGCCCTGGCCTTTATCTTTCATTTTGAGCATTGTACATCTTCCCAATTTAGTGAAAAAGGAAAGTTTTGTGACTCATAAAAATTTTGATAATTTTTTTTTCTAACTTGAAGGCTAACAGTCAAAACAAACACAGCCTATACTTTTTTTTTTATGCTGCTTAACCCTTTGACTGTCGCGGTCGTATATGTACGTCATAGGAGATACCGTGTTTGACGTATCTATACGCATAAATTCTAGCGGCTTCAAATCAAGCAGGAGAAGCTGGTAGGCCCACATGTGATGAGAATGGGTCTCCATGGTTTAGTGTGCACCATATAAAAAAATTGGGGAGCCAGTGGTGCATTGTGGGAATACCATTTCAGTCGTCCTTTTTCAGCATGTCTAGCGGTAAGAAATATGTGACTTCCCTGCAAATCTGGGACTCTTCTCTTCCCAAGTGATGCTCTAACACAGATGGAAGTGTCAATGAAGATCAATTTCATAGATTTCGAGGAGTTTGAGACCAAAAGCAATGGAGGAGGTGGAGGAGGAGGAGGAGGAGGGGGAGGAAGAGGAGGAGGAAGAAGAGGAGGAGGAGGAAGGAGGAGGAGGAAGGAGGAGGGAAGGGGGAAAGGAACGAGGGAGGAGGAGGGAAGGAGGAGGAAAGGGGGGGAGGAGGAAGGAGGGGGGAGGAGGAGGAAGGAGGGAGGAGAAAGAAGGAGGGAGGAGGTGGGAGGGAGGAGGAGGGAAAAAGGGAGGGAGGAGGAGGAAGGTGGAAGGAGGAGGAAGAAGAAGAAGAAGAAGAAGAAGAAGAAGAAGAAGAAGAAGAGAGAATAAGAATAATAATAATACCTAATACCTAATAATAATAATATGTAATAATTTTGTTCCCTTGAGGCATGAAAACAGTTCACCCCATGACAGTGACAAGATAAGGGGAGATAACATCTGATAAGAGCTGACCTTTGATGAGCGTAAACGAGGTGGAGGGGGGGGGCAGCTGTCCATCTGTCCAAAAGCCAGGAGGAGGAGGAGGAGAAGGAGAAGGAGAAGAAGGAGGAGGAGAGGAGGAGAGGGAGGAGGAGGGGAAGAAGGAGGAGGAGGAGGAGGAAGGGGGGAGATGACGACAAACAAACCTTTGTCTGTCTGTCTATTTGTCTGTCTGCCAAACTCCCTGTCTATCCGTCTAGCTCTGTCTCAGAGAGAGCCACCCAAAACTGTGTCATCATCACTTTACTCCATCTTCAAGCAGAGTATAGCACTTTGTCTGGATTTTTGGGGTTATCCTAGGTAATTTACACTATGTATAGTTGTATTTATGTGTACCTGTGAGACAGAGATAGACAGAGAGAGAGAAAGAGAGACAGATTGAAAGAGATAGAATGAGGGAGAAAGATAATTAGATAGAATGGAGGGGGAAGCAGCATCCGACCCCATTGTTTTGACAGCGGTAGGGGGAGTGACTAATGAGACAATATGTCACTTTGACAGCTGCCGACTCCTGACTCGAAACAATTATAAGCCACACACTCGCACACAAGACAAGCTTGCTGAAAGGTGATAATAGCAGTTTTATGAAAGTATCTAGTGACTATATATGTGTATATATATTATAGAAACCAGAAGCAAGAAGGGAAGGCAGGAATGAAGGAAGGACTAGATGAAAGGAAGGAAAAAAGTAATGAAGGACAGATGAAGGAATGTAGGAAGAGAGGTGGAATGCCCTCCAGGTAGCCTCCAGGTAGGAAAGGAATGAAGGAAATTAGGAAGGAATGATGACACACGACCATTTACCTAGGATAACTACATAACACAACTGCCTGCTAGTACTTTGAAGAAAGCTGCTCAGACGAGGTGTTTTGTCTTTGCACATAAAAAAAAAATTAAACAAAAATGCACACACACTGATTTTATGTGTGAGGAGTGTAAAACACCATTGTGTATGACACCATGTTTTATGTGTGAGAGTGTAAAACACCACTGTGTATGACACCATTTTATGTGTGAGAGTGTAAAACACCACTGTGTATGACACCATGTTTTATGTGTGAGGAGTGTAAAACACCACTGTGTATGACACCATGTTTCACAGAGTTCCACAAGCTGCAGAACTTCTAGGAGTATGTTCAGTGACTGTATATTGGTATATATATTATAGAACAATAGTAATAAAAAATTTTTTGTATTGTTTGTTTTTGTAAACAAGTTTTGTAAACAATATATTGATAATTATGTTTGTGTGCTTATTGTGTTGTATACAACGAGTGTATATATGTACATTGCACCTTACTTTGGTCTCACAGGCCACATAAGTTATGTGAAAAAATAAAATAGTGAAAAAAACAACAAACCTTCAAATACAAGTAAACTAAAGTTTACCGGGTGAGCGGCAGTCGCCGCTGTTGCCATACGCGGCTCATTTTCTGCAAACTTCATGCCTCTATATCTCGGTAAGTACTGATGGGAAAAAAATTTTTTTGGGACTAAAACAATCAGAAAAATAATCTTAACATTTTCATAAGAAAAAATAATTTTTTTTTTTTTCGAATATTTTGCGACACCAGGAGACACTTCAGGATTGGGCCCTTCGACAGTCAAAGGGTTAATCCACCATCAAAATCTCACTGAAATTTGACCCCCTCAAAAAAACAAAAAAATTGGTGATTCGCTTGCCCTTTTTCCC